GCGTTATTATGCGCCTAATTGTTATGGAGAAAATTCAAAAAAATTGTAATTTTAAAATTCCCATGTTATTCTTATGGAGAATAAGTCAACTGTTGTAGTTTGCTTGTTTATGAACATATTTTGATAGATTTTGGAAAATACTTTTATTTCTTACTAAACTATTATCATTTTATAAAAACAATCTTTTTTACCCTCCCTGTTGCAGCAAACCTAAGTATTCGTTAAACTAATTATATTTAAATAGGAAATAAATGTGCTATTTTTATGGAGGCATTTTAGTGTACATCCAATCAGGTTAATGGAAATTCGCTTAGTCTGCAGGTTTGCTGCGGCGGGGGTATTTTGTTTTCAGATGGCGCCTAAGAAAAAGCCCAAATTCTCTTACAGTCAAGAGGATCTTTTGAAAGCGTTGGACGCTGTTCAAAAAGGTCAATCTGTAAATGCAGCGAGCAACTCATTTGGGATTCCCCAATCAACTTTGGCTTTAAAAGTGTCAGGTAAAACCCCATTAGAAAGAAAAATGGGCCCTCAGCCTATTTTAGGGACTGATAATGAATTCATGTTGGTCAATTGGATTAAGGGACTTGCTGAGAGGGGGTTTCCAGTGACAAAGGCAGACATTATCCTATCTGTGAACAAAATGATCAAAGCAGATACGAACCTTGCTGACAAAACCCAAAATGGCCAGCTTGGGGAGAAATGGTTTTCACTCTTTATGAAAAGACATAGCGATCTTTCAGTTCGTAAACCTGAACAGCTAACTAAAGTCAGAGCTGATGTGAAGGAAGAAGTCGTAAGGAAGTGGTTCACAGAAATAACCACTTACCTAGAAAATAACAACGCCACCGATGTTCTGAAGGATCCCAAAAGAATTTTTAATCTTGACGAGACTTGTTTTTGGTTGTGTCCAAAAACAGGCAAAGTTATCTGTGTCAAAGGAAAAAAGAATGTCTATGAAGTTCAGGGAGGGAATGATAAAGAAAATATAACAGTTTTGGCAAACCTCAATGCAGAGGGTGATGTTGTGCCGCCACTAGTTGTTTACCCTGGCCAAAGATTCCCGGCATCCAACAGCCTTAAGTTCCCTGATGAGTGGAGCATTGCAAAATCAGAAAGCGGTTGGATGAACGGTGAAATTTTCTTCGAGTATATGGCCAACTATTTCATGAAATGGTTGAAAACTCAAGTGGGAATTAAATTCCATATTGTTGTGTTTTTAGATGGGCACAGGTCCCATTTTACGTATCACCTGAGCGTCTTTTCCTCTCAGAATGAAATCATTTTGATCGCTCTGCCACCAAACACCACCCATTTTATGCAAGTGCTAGATGTGGCAATATTTCATCCACTTAAACAGGGGTGGGCACTGAAGGTTCATGAATGGCGGATGTCAAAATTGTTGGAAGAAAATGAGCCTCTTACCAAGTTCAACTTTGCTCCCCTTCTAAAAACTGTGCTAGATCAATCAATGAAGAAAGAAACCATTGTCAATGGATTTAGATCATGCGGCATTTACCCTTTCACTCCTGAAATCCTAGATTGTTCCAAACTTAACGTTGTAAAAGGACCTGATCAGCAATTGTTAAAAAAGGCCCCTCAACAAGTGGACAAATCGCACAGAAAAACCCTGACCATTGTTGTTTAAAGTTCATGAAGCAGTTTATTGAAAGGATACACTACAAGAGTTCCATGAAACATATGTCAAATTCACTCCTATGTGGTTAGGTGACGAAAAGTCACAAAACCTTTATGTCACTTGGAAGAGAGCAAAGGACTCAATAATTGAGAGTCAAACTCGATCAACCGGCGGACAAATGACTCCTGAAAACCCACCTGAAAAACTGTTGCCCACTCCTGAGCAGCAATTGTGGAAAAAGGCTAAAGATTTTGTCGATGTGGAAATGGATGTAATTGAGGAAGAAAAATTGGACGACCCGGGCCTTCCGGATGTTGGTGAGACTCCATCTACCTCTCAAGGAACTTCAGCAGCTCGGCGAGACACTTCAGCTACGCCATCCTCATCTCGAGAAACTTTAGCCAAAGTTTTATCACCAACTACAAATGGTGAAGGGGTACCTTCACCATTTAAGAAGCACCTTTTCTGGCCTGGAACTCCAACAAAAAAGAAAAATAAAAGAGCACCTAAAGTAAAGCTTCCTTCTGTAGTCTCATCCCAGGAATGGAAGTCTTATGAAGAGAAGAGGCGGCAAGATAAGAAAGAGATTGAAGACAAAAAGATGGAGAGGAAAAAATTAAGGGAAGAAAAAAATAAAGGAAAGCAGACTACAGAAAAGAAGGGAATGGAGACAAAGACTACCACAAAAAAAAAATAGTTTTTGATGAGGAAGAAGACTGGACCTGCAAGATTTGCATGAAGAGATACTCAGCTGAACTTATTTTGCAGATAAGGCGGAGATGGATTGAGTGCGATTCTTGTAAGGGCACCTATCATTATAAGTGTTTACCTAAAAAAACACTTGGACGTCTTTGGGCTGGAAGAGAGCGACGAGGATGACGACTAAGTTCATTTTATTTGTCATCTTTATTCGAAGGATTGTGATTCGGACAATGAACCCTTTGTTTTAAGTGAGAGTGAATCAGATTAAATAGGCCTAGCCTAATAACCTTTCAATTTTTGACTGTTCACAAGATGTGGTCTGTTATTGCATTAATTAAAGATGTAGGCCTATGTTTGTCACTCGTTCATAATATGATTTGTTGTCCTGACAGGTTAAGCGTTAAATATAACCTTATTACCTTATTACTTTATTACCGATTCTTCATCTTTTACCCCAAGGGGGATTGATGGCGTCATTAAAAAATATATAAAATCACTTATTTACACATATATACAATTAAAACTAAGGCTGTGGACAGGCATACTTCAGCCTAGGCCTAATAGAGGGTCTTCAAAGTAGGCCTACTCCTTCAGCGAGTAGTAGGCTTTGTCTTTGAGATACGCTGTAACCATCTTAAGGAGTTTCCTTTTTTCAAGGTGCAGGATGGAGTTTGGCAACTTATTGTATATATTTATTGCTCCATTACTGAAGGCTTTCTGAGTCCTTGACAGCCTAACTCTAGGGACATCTAGTCGGGTACGATGCCTAGTAAGATGTTGATGTGTTGCTGCTCTGGTAGGAAACTCCTCGATATTGTCTAACACGTATTTAATGCAGGCGAGCATATAGTGACTAAACACTGTAAGTATACCTAGCCTGGCAAATATAGGCTTGCAGTGAGCCAAACCATCGCTGAAGGTGATTATTCTCAGAGCTCTCTTTTGCAGGATCAATATTTCTTCGGTCATGGGTGCGTGTCCCCACAGCAAAATACCATAGCTCACATGGCAATGAAACATTGCGTGATACACACTCAGCAGGTATTTCTCTGTGACCAGATATCTTAGTTTTAGAAGCAGGTAGCATACCCTCGATAGTTTACTGCAAACATGGTCTATATGGTCACTCCAGGTTAGTTTTTGGTCAAGTGTAAATCCCAACAACTTCACTGGATCATTCGGAGGAGCACGTTTGGCCAGACTGCAGACAAGAGACTGTGTTTTAGTTTGATTCAGCTGGAAGCCATTGGCCTCAAACCAGTTTGAAGCTTCTAGTAAATGTTGCTCTGCTCCCGCTACAGACTGATCAACGTGCAGTCCTCGTGACACAAGGGTGGTATCGTCAGCAAACAATACAACATTTCCAGTCTTGTCAAGGTCATTAATCATGACTAGAAAGAGAAGTGGCCCAATGACAGATCCTTGCGGGACTCCATAAGCTACCTCTAAAGGTGCTGAAATCGCCCCCTCATGTAACATTATTTACATTGGAATCCTAACCTTATATTTATGTTCACCTCACCTCCTTGTACCAAAACATTAAAATGTGAATTTGTAGGATAAATGTAGCCTAGTTACTTAAAGTGTATAATTAAGTGGTAAAAAAAAAAAAAAAACAAATAGCCTATGTTATCAATCACTGGGTAGGACTAGGTTACCAATCACTAGAAATTGTTATCAAACACTAGGTAAAGAGTGCAAATTTAAGGGAAAAAAATTTTTGGACTTAATTTTTACTTAGGCCTATATAGAGTTCAATTTCATATCAAAAGAAACAGAATTAACTGAGGATCAATATGGTATTTTTTTTACTCAGTTGTGATAAAAATAAGAATTCTATGGCCTGATGAAATCAAAAAATTATTAAATTACCAAACACTAGGCAGATTACCCCATTCTTTTTAAAACTAACTTAAGTAAAAGTAAACTTCACTTGTTAGAGAATAAGTAAAAAAAATAAAAACCTGTTTTTTATTTACGTTTAAAAATAGGGAGGTTTTTTTGCCGCACCCTGTACAACTTGAAATAGGCTAAGTTAGTAAGTAAGCACAGTTTACAGAGTACCTACTATTCCTATTCCGTTGTCTGAGTTTGTAATGGATAAAGATCCTAAGCGTTGTCCTGTCTCCTGTCCTAGGAGGAATAAACTTTATGTTTAACACAATGTTTAATCCTCCTAGCTTCTGTCCTAACGTCATTATCAGTGTAGTATATTTCCCCCGTCCCCCTGCATAAGTCCATTAGTCTTTAAATTTGGTTAGGCCTAATTAGTAAATATTCTATAATGTTAAGTAACTTAGAACCTTTCATTCATATAGGGTAACAAGACTAACAACTGTTAGTCTTGCCTTAGAAATAGAAAAAATAATTGATTCGATACTGTACTCATTCAATAAACTTACTTAAGCTTAAACTTACTTAATCGATACTTTTTTCGCAATATTCTCGTGGTATCGATACCAAGTAGCCGATTGGAAGATTTGGGGTGAAATCGGAATGTCCCTAACTTAAATCTCCCCACCTAAAACCCCGAATGGCACTGTGTCCCCAACTAAGTTGGAGCTGAAAGGTTTTGTTTGTTTATGTGTCAGACACAAAGAATTAGACTACCAATAGTCCAAGGATACCCAAAACTAACTAGGCTAGGCTACAAAATACTTACACAACAACCACCACTGTTTCAATCTTAGATGTAGTTCTGTAGTCGATAAAGAGTGTCGAAATAAAACATACGAATGTAAGAAAGGCCAAAACAGTTAATGTGTAAGCTAATATTGCATTTGCTCTACTTAAAAATGAATGCATCGTATTCGGGTATTCGTAACCTCTAATATACAAGAAAACTCAACAATTGATATTGAAAATGTTATAATCCTAACATTCGTTGATGGAGTTGGTTCGATAAATTATTTTCCCTAGTAAAACCTGAAACATAGATCCCGGTCGGTAAATTCTACCTTTCAACAGTTTCAACCCTAATAATAAGTCGAAATGCCGAAACCCGAGCTCCAATTTCGTGTCAATAAGAAAGAATAAAGAATGGCGGTAGGTAGGGTTGACGTAAACAACGACGTGTACAATCCCAAATGGTGTGGAATGAAATAGAAAAAAATCAATTCGACGAATATTGAAATGCATAGAGTAACAACTTAACTGGAAAATATGTTGTTCTGTATGAACATAAAAACTGGTATTCGTTGGCCCTACAAATAAAAGAATCGTTGGGCCTTCGTTGGGTTTAAGAATAAAACATTCTAAAAAGCATTTTAACCAATTGATTTATTTAAAAGTACATAAATGTTATGGCAGCAGAATATAAGACAAATATTTTAAAAATTTGGATCTATAATAAATGTAGTCAGACGATGTTGTGATACTAGTGGGGAACACCTGCTTAACATATAATAATTATAATTCCTTTTTTTTACAATATTTTTAATTTATTTGAGCAAATTTTTAATAGTTATAGGGGAAAGATTAATTAATTATATAACAATAAATTATAACAGTAGCCTACTAATCTAATGGTAGTTAAAAAATCTATATTCAAATTCTAGTATACACTCCAACCACCAGAAAAACAATTCAACTACTTCATACTTCATACTTTTCTCTTCATCGTTGACCGGTATAACTGGATAGATGGCGACAATACTATTACTAAACAAAACATATATTTACAGCAAAAAAAACTTTGAGAAATTAAATTCTTAGATCTTTATTTAAATTTGGCGGCAGGTCACTTCATTTTATTGAGGAGTGGTCGGCTTCTAGATACTCATTAAGTGTGTAGAAGGGGTTGTTTTTAAGCCAAGTCCCAATTTTATTTTCAAACGTCCTTGGTTCTAGTTCTTTGACAGCAGCCGGGAGTAGGTTGAAAAACTACTTGACCCCTACTTGAAACTACTTGAGGCCTAAACAGATAACAGAATCATTTTATACTGTAGCATCCAAAATTTAAGTATTGTGACCATTGCACCTGTCGGCTACTCTTTGACGACTTAAAAACAAACTAATCAACAAGCACAGTTAGCTCAGAGGTTAGGCGTGAGGCCCACAAGGCGAAGGTACCGGGTTTGAGACCCGTTCCGGCCAAATAATTTTATCTCGTTTTTTTAAATTAGTTTTTAGCGAATTTCCCATATCGATGGTTATATGCACAAACATTGTATGTCCAACTTTTTTCACTTTTGACATTTTTATATATTTGGAAAGCTGTAGTCTTCATCTTTCAGATCACACATATTGTATGTCCATATTACAATAGGAAAAATTAATATAAATTCTCAAAATAAAAGTGTTCACTTTGGTATGATGTAATTTTATCCTGCACACTTGTAGCATGTCCAATGATTGCAGTACCAGCTGAACAGAGAAAAACTCCTTTAGAGCACAGATATAGTATCTTTGGACTTGCAATGATTGTGCATGAAAATACAAGGCCTACTATCTCTGGTATTTGTTTTTCATCTTGTAGTATGTCCAAAAATCTGATGATCTCAAGTGCACTCTTAACTCTTATAGTATGTCCACATTTTATTTTACAATTAGGTTAGGTTTAGGACATACAGCATCTGTGCACAACAGAACATAACACCAAAAAAGAATCCGTGAATTGGCTAAAGGTAAAGTGGTTTGGGTTTTAAAAAGCAAACCCCTTTGAAATTCTATACAAGTACGAACTTAACAAGGAAATCGAGTTTTTGACTCTTGATGTACGAATGGATTCCGAGACGCCATTTGTCTGGGAACAACAACTTCTCAGTCCAAAGTACACCGAGCCTATTCCTATTCCGGTTTCCAGCGCCAAGAAAAAGGATTTGATGTAACTACTTAAAGCGGGTGTAATCAGGTGTAATCCCAGAAGCATTCACGCATTTTGTCACTGAAATCCCTAGTTCCGCATCGGCAAGAGATATTGTACTTTACGTCATAGAGGAAGAAGAAGGAAACAAGTCTCTCACTGAAGTTACCAAAAGGAAAGAAGGAAGACGCAGTAGAAGAGATGTTATAGGGCAAGAAACCAGAAAAAGAAGTAATGTAAAGAGAGTTTAAGAAAACCAAGGAGGCTAAAAAAAAACCAGAGAAAATAAAAGAAATTAAAACTTCATAAGAAAATAAAGTAATGTGTCTAAAGGACAGCACTGTTGAATAAACCCCATAAAGACTGACTCAACAAAATACAGTTTGTACTGTATAGGTACCATTTTACAAAAGGCACTACCTGATTTATTTCGTGCTTAGTTTAATGTTTCGTTTAGGCCTATTTGTGTTTAAGTTTCTAATAGCTGATGATAATAGCAAGTAATTTTTATTTTAAAATGTTAAAAATAAAAGTAGTCTACAATGTAAGACAATAACAGTCATGGGCGTCCGCAGAATTTAGAACAGGGGCAACCCCATTATATAGGTCTAACGAACCTCCAGGGGTTCGGGGCCTTCCCCGGGGAAAAATCTGAAAATATAGTGTTTTAAAACATATGTTTACGCTATTTTGTAATACATAAAACCAACCAAAACAAAATAGTACATTGTGCATCAAGGACGGTCACCTGAGGGAGTCGTCGTTTTTTATGCCAACATTAACAATTAACCAAACAATTATAAAGAAAAAAAATTATAGTTGAATAAAGCCTACATAACAGCCAAGAAAGTTTATGTTTTGTTTTCTGAATAGTTTTGTTAAAGTATGAAAGTATACAAAGTATAAAAGATTTTTACATCTGAGAGTCAACTACTTATTTGATTTAAACATCAATTTAAAACATTTTTTAGACATGACCATTTTGAACATACTTTTATAAATTCCTTAAAACCCAAGTGATCACAGAACATTATGTGTATTAAATTTATTTCTAATTTTTTTTAGCCAGGGGGCGCCCATGATAACAGTTGTTTAAATTTTTCATTCCTTACTAAAACCATCTAGGGGCAGTTTTTGTATTGCACACTCGTAGCATGTCCATAAATCTGCGCGTTCAGAAGTGCACACATATAGTATGTCCAACATGGTTTGATTTACAAATTATTTGTAAAAATGTGGCTTGAATAAAGATAAAACTATTTATGTAGATGCATTTTTAATAAATGGGGCCAATAAAATGTATTTATTTTAAACATTTAACAGTTTTAGTTTAAGTTTCCCCCATAATACAAACTTTGTTTTTGTGGTTTCCGAAAGTTTACCAAAATGGACATACAACTATTGTGCTTATAACCATCGATATAGGGAATAAGCTATTACCGTAGTACTCATGGTAAGACCTGGACGCGGGACCGATTTTTTTTTCGTTTTGAGGTCCCTAGAGGCCAAAAACACCATCCGTTCAAATTCATATATATATATATATATATATATATATATATATATATATATATTTATTTATTTATATATATATATTTATATATATATGTGTCCGTCAGCACGATAACTCAAGCAAAAATGATCCGATTTTGATGAAATTTGGTACAAACGTGTAAACCTACGTTTATTTGAACGAGTTCGCGATCCAGCATGATCGGATCATGGGAACGGGTGTTTACGGGGGGTTTTATGGGGTAAAAATAGGGTTTTCCCATTTTTGACCCAAAAAACTTAAAATTTTGCAATTTATTTCCAAACCATTTTGTAGAGCTTAAAAAAAACAAATAATTTAGTATATTGAAGCGTTATTATGCGCTTAACGGTTACGGAGAAAATTCCAAAAAATTGTAAATTTAAATTTCCCATGTTATTCTTATGGAGAATAAGTAAACTGTTGTAGTTTGCTTGTTTATGAACGTATTTTGATCAAATTTGGAAAATTATTTTATTTCTCACTAACTATTAACATTGTACAAAAAAAAACACAATTTTACCCTCCCTGATGCAGCAAACCTAAGTACTTGTTAAACTAGTTCTATTTAAATTGGGAATAAATGTTATATTTTTAAGTAGACATTTCAGTGTAAATCCAATCAGTCAAATGGAAATTCGCTTAGTCTGCAGGTTTGCTGCGGCGGGGGTATTATAAACTATTTAATCAATTTACTCAACTGATAATTATGCTTTTAATACTAAATCTTTATTATTTTGTGTTTTTTATGTTTAGGCCCAATTGGATGGTTGGCCCTTCCGCAAAACTTGGTTGGTTGGCCAACCGTAAGACTAAGTGCCAAAATATACCGTTGGCCAACGATCGACAGAAACGTTGGGCCAACGATTTGCCAACGATTTTTGCTTTGGGTATGCTAGGCCAAAGGCGAGCGCACGAGCAAGCACGAGGGAGCAGCGAGTTCGGGGAAACAGCTGATTTCTTGATGTTCCATATAGTTATACAGTAGTTAGTTGTCAAATTGTCTGCTAGCCACTACTAACTTTGCACATGCATCAATCAGCAATCAGCGGTAACACCAGTAGCCTATTATTACCATATAAACACTAGTGTTAAATTTTATATAGTCAATGATATTACTGAATTCGATACTACCTATATATATTGTGATGAATGAATGAATGAATGAATATCGTTTATTCCAAAAAAAAACATAGGCTACAAGCTATGAATATAAACTAAATAAAGTATAATAGACATATACTTTTGTCACTAAAATATATTATACAAGTTTTAATAAAGCCAAATATTATAACAATAAAATAAAGGAACTAGCAGACATAGGCAGTGCTACCTGTGCGTCTGCTAAGTTGCTGTCAAATAGAAAAAAGAAAAATTATTGAATTTTGGAATGGCAATTAAAAAAAGACAATTATTGTCTTTTTTTAATTGCCATTCCAAAATTCAATAATTTTTATAGGTCGTTATTATTATTAGTTAAATAAGTAAATGTATTTCCATGAACACAGTAGGATAGATCTATCACGGCCGCCTCTGATCTACAGGTGAAATGGAAGGATTTAGGACAATTGGGCACAGTTCTAGCAGTTAGAAATGGCTTTATAAAGTCACCAACCCAAACGGCGTTTAGGATATATGGCTTCGTAGTCTACAGTAGCCAATGTTTTGAAATTCATGAATGCAAGTTCGTCATAAGTTTAATTTTTTAAATGTCTATT